TCCTGCTGCCTGCTCTCTGCAGGATGGGTTGTAGCCCTAGAAGACATTTGTCAACCTTCAGTTGCAGTGGTGTGAATTAAGATTGCAGTTTTATAAGATTTTCCCCCTCACATGTGGGCATGAGAGGGCTCAAATACTGACTGTTGAAGGTTTTCCAGTACCTGCTGTCTTTTTCTTTCATGTGGCAAGAACAGAGTGGGTTTGCAAGGAGAAGGCAGCAAGTAAGGAAAATCAGTGTGTACCTGTATCTGGGAACCCTGACATTGCCTTTTTGTACAGCACTGGTAATGACAGTAATAAATCTTTCTGGTGAATGAAGTGCAGGGCTGTTTTGAATCCTTAATTATTTGTCACACAAGGTCTTCATAAGAAATCACCTCTCATGACAAGCTCTGCATGTTAATCCCCACTGATACATGTCACTATTGGTATTCAGTCCAGTTGCTAGAAATGGCTGAGTTAGGGCCATTACTTAATCTGCAGCCCAGCAGATGAAAACCTGGAGAAAGAGTTTCAGGGCTTTGTTTTCGTAGACCCATTATGAAATCTTAGGAGATCCTTGGCCTGTTGCTGCATTTCTCAACTCCTCCCATCTTGTTCATTGAGATTGTGTGTTCACTGGAATTTGGCCTTTTTCACATGCTTGTGTGGTTCTGGAGTAGTAGATGGCAAGAACAGTGACTGGCATGCACTGAGATGCCTTTTCTTTCTAGTAAGGTGTTTTTTGTACCTCACTAAGTTGTGATACCTGTGACCATTTGAAAAATAGACTGTAGGATGCATAAATGCTTTACAATGCAAACAGTCCTTCCAATTGTTGTTTTTTAAAGAACATCTGATAGCAGCTCTTGCTGTTGGTAGTTAGTTCGAAACCTTATGCTAATTACTTTATACCTCACTATATTCTCTCACATGCATTTGGATACCTTCCTACCTTTTAATTGTTCTTCCAACAAGGAATTTGAAGGGCTAGCTATGAAATGCTGGTAGAGTAAAACCTTGTAAAGTTCAGCTGACTGTGCCAGAATTGCGCTCTGGCAAGACCTGAACCCTGGTTTCCATTGAACTAAATGAGATGGGGGGGTGGTAAGGGGGTTAAACAGATGAGAGCTCCTGCGCTACCTTTTTCATGTGTGATTGTATTTAACATGCATTGGGGCAGGAGGAAGAGGGGTTGAGTCCGACAGTGTTCTCCCAGGTTCTGCAATGCTTAATCAGGACAGAATGAGTTAAGAATAAAACTTAAACCCAGCTGCCTCTCAACGAACTTTGTAAAGAAATGTCATCTGTGGCATAATATGTGTGATGGGCTAACAAGTGTATGGTTATTATGTTGCAGATTCCCAGTGTACATAGAGGAGAAAGCTCTAAATACCCTCGCCTACCTTTGCGACGGTGATGCAAGGACTGGACTGAATGGACTCCAGTTAGCAGTTCAGGCAAGATTAGCGGCAGGGAAGACCACTCCTTTGAATATTACCAAAGGTGGTTCTGCAGATGGCATTCTGGTAACAGAAGAGCATGTAAAGGAAGGGCTACAGCGATCTCACATCTTGTATGACCGAGCAGGTGAGTACCTCACACAGTTTCTGAGATGCAGAGTTCTCAAGAGCTGATAGCCTTTGTAATTTCTGATTTTTCTACCCCTTTTGTACCAGCTGCTCTGGTAAAACAGTGATTTTACTGAAATTTGGACTAAAAATTACTTTTCCTTTGCAGTGTAGCAAGCTCATCCAGAAATTCCTTCTAAACAGAGTGTGTAGGTTAGCTGAAAGACATATTTGCTGTCCTGAAAACAGCTGTGTGGTGAAATTTGTTCTTTAAGAATATGAGAATATTGTCTTCTAAGAGGGTTTCAGTGTAAAGTGGGAGAAGTAATTTAATGAGGAGATTTGTTCTTGGAGGTTTGGAAACCTTCCATTGCATTTCTACACTTCTGAAAGTCTTGGAAGCACTCACATGCACAAAAATATGTTATGTGAAAACCTGAGCAGTTTGCTTTATTTTTAGGGTTGCTCTTTAAGGTAATGAATTTTGTAGTTGCTTAGGGAAGGTCATGTAAACCTAACTGCATTTAAGGCTTCCTAGTGTGATAACCACTCTCGCTAAATTTGTGGCTTGGCAGTGTTAGGCATCACAATAGTTGGCCACTGATATCATTTTATGTGAGAGGGTTAAAAATCGGAGAGTGAATATCAGAGATTAAGTGAATCCCCTTGAAGGCATATACTAGTTCTTCAGCACTTGAAGAACCGTGCAGTATAGTATAAAATGGTTATGCCAAGCAGTAGTTGGAGAACTGATTGGTTTTTGTTTTGCCAGTGTATCTGATATGCTAAAATAACTGTCAGTACTCAAACCTTGTGACAAGACATTTCTCGGGGTTGGTTGTAACATTGCCTACTAACAGCCTTCGTGCTACAAAAGAGAAAATGATGGCTCGTTTTCAGGAAAAGTCAGCTGGGTAGATAGTGGTATGGTGGCAGCTGAGAATTGAAGGGTTGGCAGGGGGAGAGAGAAGAAAAAAATTGTGGGGTCTGTGGCAGGAAGAAGTCGTGATTAGGAGGGAGCGGAAAATCACTGGTGTGCGTTTCTTGCATCGTGTGGGTCCCTTGTGTGTTTGCTGTCGCCTTGTGGCCGCTGCCACACAGAACTCTTGGCTGTGGCCATTGCTCCCAGCCCCTCCCCTTCTACGCCTGTTTGCTCCCTTAGAGGTGGCATGCAGTCCCTCTTTGCGAGGCTTGCTGAGTAGCACGTGTCTGCCACTTCTCCATAGCAGAAATCCTTCAAGCTCTGTGCAGGGGTTTGGGTGTTTTTTTGTCAGAGATTCTCAGAGCGGGATGACTGGTAAAAATCCTGCTTTACTTGATTGTACGAATGCCAAAGAGTGTGCCACAGATGCTGTCACGGCAGCAGGTTGCCTGCAGGTTGTACATCTTTACAAAATTTCTCTCTTCTGTGGAGTAGTCCGTTTTTCGGTTGACCATTTTTGTCTGTAGCAGAGATACTGGGTTGCCTTTTTATGTACAGAGGCCATCTGGATAGAGGCTACTGTATAAGTAAAGGCACTTTTGTAGCATGGTTTAACAAATACTTTTTGAATCACAGTTCTTGTGGTGGAATCTACAGTCTTATAATAAAGTGCTTCAGCCTTAGAAATGAAGGGGCATGATGCTGTCTAATCATGATAGCAGCAGCATCCATTTGAGTATGGTGTGTTTATGTAGAAAGCACCAAATAATTGAGTAGTATTCAGAACTGTGTAGATAGGGAATTTTGATTTTTACATAATTATTTTTGCTCATCTTCAGCAAAATTTGGCAAATTTATGTAGTTTGGCATTCTTTTTTGTACTTTCACCAAATTTTCTTGGAAGGAAATTATTCTTAACCCAGTCATTGGGCTGTTGTTCTGATCTGTGTGCAGACATGTAAAGGCAAGATCTTTGTGCAGATAGTCTGTGCATTTTAGCTGGAAGGATAAAGAAACAGCTCTAGTCAGATTTCACTGACAGCAGCCACCCTTGCTGTTTGAGCAGAAACAAACTAGTCATATTTTAGCTTTCAGTTGCATTCTTTTTCATTTCAATTTTGGAAGAAAATTATGCAGCAACCAAATTAAATTAATTGCAGATGGACAAAGACTAGATGTTTAAGACAGAGTCATACTGTCTCTTCTTCCTCTTATGTATTGTGTCTCACTGCTAACACTGACTTAATAGCAAATACCAGATAATAAATATTTATTCTGATAAATATCAGAATAACTGTGGGATTTTAACTCATTATCTATGTGGTAACATAGCTTCACTTATGGTAAAGACCAGGAATATGTTAAACTGATGATAATTTATTCTGTAATCTGGAACACGGTTGTTCCTTCCTTTTCTATGGCGAAGGTGTCTCACAGTGTAATGGATTTTGCCAGCTTTATTTTCTGCTGGACCAGAATGAGAAGTCTTTTTACCCGTGCTGTCTTTGTAGTCTTTCTTCCAAGGCTTCTGTCCTTTATTGGTGAGCAGTTGGTGTTTTCTTTTGGTTGAGACATACAGAAAGTTGTGTGAGGTAGGGATCGTTACTTTATTTTGCCTTCTATCTTACAAACAGGGCTTGCTTAAGAAGTCCAGATATCAATTGTGGTCTGTGAAAGAGGCCTTTTCCCTGTCTTCTACCAATAAATCTTTAGATAAATTAACAAATGAACTGGAAAACTCTTAATGAGCACACAAAGCGATTTAAAGGCACAAAACTGGGAATCAAGAAGATTTATGCACCTGTATACATTAGACACTCTAGAAAATCCTGTTTTACACAAAGCCTCCTGTGCGGTATGTTGTTTCTCTTAGGAAAGGTATTTGCCTTTGTGGGGACTGCGTAGAGCAAATATATTTTGATTCCAGAAACTCTATAAAGCGTTTTGATTTCAGTTTGTTTCCGTTCAGGATACAGAACAGGGATAGGTAAGTTTGCATATGTCTCTCAACTGAATTCATAAGGCCAAAATCTATATATGAGCTAAGTACCCTGAGAGACAGAGCAAATAAATAAAGGCCTATAAAAAGTTCTGTCTAATTTTTAAAAGCTGCTTTTGATATCTCACATAGAAAGTATATAAACTATATTTTTTAAAAAAGAAACATAAATCCTCTTTGTCCAATGCATGTAATGCTGTTTTGCCTTTAATTGAAACTGCATTTCAAGTGCAACTGCACAGTTGTTCTGAAGAAGTCCAAGTCTGGGTGTATAAGTATTGTTATGTTGATGACTCAGTCACCAACATTAACTTCGTGAGAAAAGAGATCAAGGGAGGAAACTATCCCCTTTCTCCGCCATGTACTCTGAAATATCTCACAGGTGTGTATCTGTAGTCCCAACCTATGTGCTGGATTCCATCTGCCTCTCCAGGTGGTATCCTCAAGTATGAGGATACGTATGTACTTTACAGTAGCCCGAACAGCATATAAAAGCACTCTATCAGAAAAATCCGGGCGAATGCAACCTCTGGCAATATTTAAAAGCCATCTTCCTAACTTCTAAAAAACCAAGAGACGCCTCTTCCAAGAGGACGATGCGAGTTCAGCTGCTTGGGTTTATTACTACTAACTCAAGTGTTACGATAGAGCACAGACACGCTGTTTGTGTTGGCATGAGTGATGATTGCATACCACAGGGCTCTTTGTGTGGAGTCCTATCAAAAATAGCTGTCTGCTGGTCTGTGTATGCTGGCAGCACATGCTTTGAATTCCCTGCAGAACCACACTGCAGCGTGAGCAGCGACGCAGGAAGATGGACCCAGTTTCTCATCTGGGAGGTGGGGTCTTGCTGCGGGAGCAATTGTGGCAGTATGAGGGCTTTGTTTTCAAACTCATGCATGCAGCCTTTTATTTTGCAGTGCCTGCAAGCAACAATGACACGTTCTGATGTGGCCCTGGGGCTGTAAATCCTTTTAGCCATAGGAAGAAGAGAATTATTAACAGATGGCTGTGCATGCAGCCAGTTGCCTTTATAATACACAATTAACTATGAGCCAAGGAATGCCAGACACTTTAAAAAAGGCAGATTATGTGGAAAGTTGAACTGCAGTATCACAGCAAAATACTCTTACAAGTTTCATTAAAAGAATGCATAAGAATCAAAGCAAGCTGCACATAGAAAAATTGCAAGCAGGAGGGATCCCATTCCCTGGTATTTGCATCTGTAATGTTGACTCTCTGTTTATAAACATAGCCCTAAAATATCTGTCAAATGGCTTTGTTTCGCCTTAGAGTCCATATCTAATTTTATATTAAACTGTAATGTTAAAAAAAAAATCCTTGCAAATAATTCAGTCTTCCAAACCCTTACTTAGTAGTTTGGCATTTCAAGTAGCTGGCTGTTCTGTTTCATTTTCCTCATGGTTTTTGTTTGAGCTGCTCAGTTTTCAGAACCCTTCCAGTAGTGCAGGTGTCTACAACTGAAGCAAACATTTTATAGCAGTTTGTCAGGGTTGCGTGCTGTGATCCCGTTTCCTCCAGACTGTGTAATGTGCCATCATTGTATATCCACAGCAACCTTTCCTTTGCTTCCCCATATAATACAGCAAACTCGTTGTCTGATTTACTGCACACCTTATTTTCACATTTCAGTTGATGTGACATCTATTTTTTCTAAAATACCTGCACGGAACTGGATTTCTGTGATTCTTCTGTTGCCCTCTCAGGGCTGTGTGCATGTCCAAAAGCAATGGTCAGTGGTTTATATGTGCTCACACTTTACTCTTTGTCAGTGAGGAGATTTTTTAATATATATATATATATATGTGTATATATATA